GTCTATGCATCTCTTCATGAAAATATTGCCTTTAATGAGTTTGCGATGTTGGATGGTTTGCGTTGGGTTCTTTTTTTCCTTTCGGATTTAGTTAGTACCCTATAAAGTTCGGTTATACATACAATAAACGAAAAGAATGATATGATAATATATTCTCAGTGTCCTTCATTTCTATTTGCTATCTTATCATCTTAGAAACATCCGCATCATCTCTCATGAATAACCCGAAGTCTACACACAAATGCATTGCCTCCATATAGAAAGTAGAATGTCAAGAAGATAATCAAACCTCCCGACTTGCATGAGGTATCTGTCAAGCTCCGACGATAGGTATCAATCAATCAACCAACCAACCAACCAACTAACACCCCCGGCCCCATCCCTGTCCGCTGCCTCGACCATTACCTCCCTTTCTTTCCTTTTTTTAAGTGACATATTTTATACGGGATATCAGGAAGTCCTTTTGTTTTTCTCTTCTCCTCTCTGCTGGTGTTAAAGGCAGTAATCAACGCCTGTTTTATGCAACTATGCATCGCGAACTATATACCTTTCTTTTTTCTTCTGTTTCTTGAGCTTTCTTTTTTTGTTTTTTTGGAAAAACGACAGAGGAATTGCCGGCGACAGAGCTATCAGTGTAAAGGATCACATGAGAACATCAGTCATCAAACCAAACCGTGGGGGAATCTAAGAGGAAGAAAAACAGTGAGATTGATCGAGGAGCATAGGGGAAAAGAAAGAATATGAAATGCAAAAGGATCATGCGCTCAATCGCTGGATAAAGGACTGCGGCGGTTGTTAGCGGGAGGTCTTCCTATGTCAACTGCCACCTGGAACTACATACCGGGAAGAACTGCCGGAAGCCCTTCAAGTCTAGCCGGCCTAATGCATTCAAGAACTCCTCTATGAGTTCGGCACCCATTCCCATGCCAGGCAATTCCTGGTCTCGAAGGTACTGGATATACTCCATACCGGTCTTGCAATAGATGGTGCGCTGCAATCCTCCAGCTTCGGCGAGAACCTGCTTGGCCTGTGCGTCTTTGGGATTGAAGGACGGGGTGGCGGGAAGTGCCCAACATAAGGGCGACATTCGGCTGATCATGAACTGTGCAAATCCTGGGAGGGCAACCTGCTGGGCGGTGCCATTCGTCGCCTCCGGTGCGATATCAGGACCGCCCCAGGAGCTGCCCATCTTGGAGAGCACCGAGAACGCCATCTTCGCGGTGGTAAAGTCCTCGATGTCCTTGGCGAAGTGTTCGATGGTCGTGATGACGGTATCGAACATGGGTTGATTTCCTGTTTCTGTTAGCCTTTGCATCGTTTGTAAATCGAGGTAGAAGGGCCGAAACTTACTCTCGCTGATGATCACTGCGCCCAGGTCATTGTTCAGAACCGCCAACAAGAAATTCAGATATTCCCTTTTCAACTCCGCAAGCTGGATTTCGTCATCGGTGCCAGTAGTGGGATCAGCAATTCCGGCGAACACCCGTTGTAGGAAAGGCGTCAATAGTGTATCGAGAATGGCATATATTTCGCCCTTGAATCCGAAGATAACTTGGTCCAAAAGGCGCAAGAAAAGAGCCATTTCATCCCGAGTAGAAGTCTGGGTTAGTAGGCCATCGATCCACCTTGGAAGCTGTGGGAGGATCCGGGAGCCAAGGACGCCAATGAGTCTGGAAAAGGCGAATCGAGCGGCTGTTCTAATATTGAAAGAGGTTTTAAGGGACTCAAGAGCAACAAGAGTAGCCTCGGACACCTGCAAGAATGCCTCAGAAACCTCAGCCGCGGGCAGCGAGGTTGGGGAGCTGGTTCCTGGCATCCAATCCGAGAAGCCTTTTGCTAGTGTTCCAAGAGCCATGATGTCATGATGTATTTGTAACAAAGCCCTCTCGTCGTTGGACTTCGCCGGAGCCAGGTTTTTCTCCATGTCCATGAACACAGGGTTCAGTACCGACTGCGCATACAGGACCTGCTTGTCGGCAGGGACAGTCGGGGTGGAGCAGATAATGCCAACGGCTTCGAATAGGTAAAGTTGGCTGTTGAAAACAGCATCTGCGGACCCTTCATGATCCTCCGACGACATTTCATCACCATCGGCGCCTTCTGTAGGAATTTCCGCCTGGATCACCAAAAGATCGCCTAGGGCCTGGACGACTGTCTCCGCAACATTGCCGATGTGGGTTCTCAATTGCTTGACTAGCCGCTGGAAAAGATACCAGGATCTGGTTTTAACCTTCTTCGTGGGGTGGTGAACAAGTTGAAGGAAGCTTTCCAAAACACCGGGGATGAGATGAGTGTGGTACAGGAAGAATGAACTGTAACGAACACAAATTTCCATGTACTGTAATTGGGTCGCCGGATGCGTGAAGGAGCGAATATCTGTAAATTGTCAGAGGAAGCGCGCATGGTCCCTGATACCTGATACCTACCGGACTCGACCATTCGTGACACCATCTCAATAAGTCGCTCTGCTGCCCGATTGTTGGGTTGGTTTTTGGTATAGAGATTGCCTGCCTTTACGGCAATGTCTCCAAAGAGGAACATTTCATGTAAGGCAAGGTCCAGATCACGCCAGTCTAACTGCGTACCTGACTGTCGTAGGTTCTCAAAGGTTGTTGCGACAACCTCGGAGACGGCGTCTATGTAGAGCTGTTCGTTCACCGTGGCGACAGTTTGTTGCATAATGGCTAGTCTCTTGCGGAGTTCCTGGAACTCTGCCTCGTCCGTTTGGTCATCCTCGTCGCCCCATGAGGAGGTGTCGTCGTATCGCATCTTGGCAATGATGGCCTTCAAGATAGGGAGCAAGATGGGGGAATGCTGCGCGGTAAGAGAAGGGTCGGTCTTAGAGACCTTTCTCAAGTATTGCAGAAGGTCGCTGCCACAGGGGATGACGGTCGAGCAGACCTCGTCGTATTCATCGGAAAAGTATCTCAGGATGTGCGGAAGGAAGGCCTGCAATAGCCCATTGGCCTTTTCTCTGCACTCTCCAGAGATATTCTCTTGCTCCAAAGCGCGCACAATATCAACCACTGTACTATTGACTAGCTTCGCAACTGTTTCGGCGAGATCCGTATCGTATTTGAAGGTAAACCTATTCTCACAAAGAGGGGGGCTGTTGGAGAGCTGGGAAACGATCGTGTCCAGATTCAAGAAAATAATCATGTCAATCTTATCCTCCGGTTTCATCTTTTTGCCGATGATTTCTGTAAAAACGTCGACTGCTGCATCCCGCACCTTTTCCTCTCCCGCCCTGAGCTCCGCCTTCTGTGCCCGGGCCAGTTGCTGGAATAAGAGATCGAGCATTGTCTGGTTGACCACAAGACTGATATCAATCCAGCTAACCCAGGAACCAACTGCTTTCAAACACATCTCTACGATCACGTCGTTGCCGTCCCGCCATTCCGACAAAATCTGTTGCCACGAGCTTGCGATCTTTTGCATGTCTCTCATCCGGATCAAGTCCTTCAGCGAATTTGCCCTATCCTGTTCCGTACGAGATCTGGACACGAGGACATCACCGATTTCATCGTGGATAGAATTAACGACTCGAAGGTAGAATACAATCCCCAGCATATTGTCAGGCGACGTGCTCGAGGCACCCTTGTACGTTAAGCTCAAGAGATCATCGAAGAATGACTCCCAGCCGTTCCCGTAGAGCGCCGAGAAGAGGAAGGTAATCGTCTGGGCAATTTTGTTCTGAATATTGGGAGGATCTGGGTTTGCATTCTCCTGCCCATAGACCTGGCGGAGGTAGTTCATGAGGCCGTCTCGGACATATCCTAGAGCCTGAGGGTCAATCAGTCCAGCCTGGGCGGCACTGTTAACCACCTCTAGCGCTACATGTCGTATGATCTCAGAGTGCTGGGGAGTCTTTGTGAAGAGAGCGAGGCAGACTTGCCATCCCGAGGGGTCGGTACGGAGTTGGTTCAGGTAATCGAAGGCTTGCGCCTTGAGGGCTTGGTCTGAGGAAGGATTCCAGGCGATTTCTATGGCATTCGCTACCTAAGTGATTACATATTTGTCAGGTCCAGGATATCAGGAAGAGCTTTTTTTTTTAGATTAAATGGTTATGCAAACATGTGTCGGGAGGGGCATGAGGGGAGAGGAGGGGAGGGCAAATGGTGGGGTGGACTCTTTTTTTTGTGTCCCTTTTCAATAAAAAAAAGGTAAAAAAGAATAAAGAATAAAGAAAAACTAATTGGAATTAACGAAAGTGCGACATTGAATCCATACCTGTTCTTCCATCTTCGACCAGCCGAGTTGCCTTCAGAGTCAGTAGACTCGGAAAGCAAATCGAATGACGGTGTTCAAAGGGGGACAAATCGATGTAGTTGGGTTAAAATTCAATGGCGGCGGAGAGTCATATCAGAGAGGGCCGTTTATCGAACCATGACTAGTGCGTTGGAGCAGCAATCGGTGGTTTCGGGGGTTTAGACTAGTGGCAGAGACCCAGTTAGTCGGTAAACGAAAAATTTGTTAATGGATCGATTGGACTCACCGGACGGACAACGGAGATGAGGGGAGGAGTTGAATCCTTTCCAAACACGCTCGCAACCTTTCTGTCGGCTGACTACGTCACTTTGTGTAGATGAAACAGGAGAAGAAAAAAAATGACTGAGGTACAGCTGGCATGGATGTCATTGTGTGCGGCTACAAACTGGGCTTGGTCACCCCCCCGGCCGAAAAGGGAAAGGAGCGCGTGCCTCCCGAGAGCCCTTGGCTGCCGGCAGATTCAGGCAGCATGCGGTAGCTCTTCTGGGTTAACGGCGCTCTAAGGTGCCCGATGTCTCGAGAAGCTTAGCCCTCAAAGCTACATACTTTTTGTATCCGTCTTGTCCTATTACCACTATAGCCACCGACATGTGCGAATAATTGTTGGTGCTATTCGACTAACAACACAAAGCAACCAATTAAACAGTGCTCTGTTTTTACCTCTTAACAATCATTAGTACCCTTTTTGTCTACCCCTTCTACCATTGGCTTCAACTATTTCTCTGCTCCTCCTAGCAAATCTTGACAACAACTTTCGAAAAATGCTTCTGTTGCTCGAGATGCTCATATGCCTCTCTCACCTCGTGTAGACCAAACACCTCTTCATCAATTAGGGGCCTAATGCCATTCTCTTCAATGAAATGATTCATGGCCTGGAACTGAACTCGGGTCCCAAGGAGCAATCCACGCGAGGTGCAAAGATAACTCAGACCGTCCATCAGACTGGGCATATCGGGATTGGACGCTCCGCCTAAAAGTCCTGCTAGTGCGATACCTCCCTCCGGCCTGATAGCCTTGAGTGACTGATGAAGGGTAAATGCACCGCCCACATCGACAATCAAGTCTACGCCTTGGCCACCAAGGGTAAAACCTTTTGCGGTTGTTCCCCAGTCAGGCGTGGATTTGTAGTTGATGACGTGGTGTGCACCTAGTGATTTGAACTTGGACGCTTTATCGTCGTTGCTGGTTGTTGCTATCACCGTCGCACCCGAAGCCAGGGCAAACTAACGGTTTGACAAGTTAGCACGTATATCCTGGACCGAGACCTACACAGCCGGGATAGTCACAAGGAAGGTACTACCTGCAGAGCAGCAATAGAAACACCCCCTGTTTCCTGCACCAACACTACACTACCCTTCTTGGGCTCTCTCCCTTTAAGACCAAACAATGCATTCCATGCCGTTAGACCAGAACAAGTTAATGTAGCCGCTTCCTCGAAAGACAGGTTGTCAGGCATCTTCACCACCGACGTTTCATGGTATATGCCATGGCTCTGTAAGGTCCCGTCTACGTGCTGACCAAGACCGGCCCCTATATCAGCAAAGGTAGCGGGCGTATCATCGGCCATATGGGTTGTCATATGGGTGCAAACTTTATCCCCAGGCTTAAGATTGCAGACTTGGGAACCAACGGCCTCTACAACACCCGCTCCGTCGGATGCTGGAACAATGTTGTCTTTGATAGTCAGACCGAATTTTCCCTGGTTTATATTAGGTCAAGTTTGATAGAAATTGTGGTAGAGGGTGACGTTTAGGATCTATTTACCAAGGCAATAGCAATACCACGGTAATTTAAAGATGCTGCATGAATTCTGACCCGTACATCGTGGTGCCCCAGAGCAGGTAGAGGATGATTCTCAACGAATTTGAGACTTGAGATTCCTCTTTGGCCAGTGAGGGTCCATGCTGCGGTTTGAGATGCCATTGCTGGAAGGTGGGTAAATGTCCTGTATGAATTACCTAGATGTTTGGTTTGCCATATAACTACGAGGTACTTAAATAACGGTTTCATTCTGCCCCTTATATCTTGTCAAAAAATGGACTTGAATCATGTCCAACCAGTCATTATGGAAAGCATTGAATCATGAATGGTGTGGGAAGGGGGAATCCCGGGACCGATCATATCCAAATTGCTCCACCGCAAACCGTTTCCATGCCTGTTTCGGCGTGAGCAAACGGCATTTGGGTTTAGCGGAGTATGCCAAGTGCACTGGAGTTTGCGCAGTCTCAAAGCCCAAGAACCGGAGCTGAACAATATTAGTAATGCTTTGGAAATGCAATCTTCAACTGAAGGCTAGCCGGATGGTGAAGTTTGGACCTAGAGTGCCTTCTGCGCCGGCTTGAAGATAAGGTTTATGTATCTAGCTCATATGCGCCATGAGTTCTCAACTAGACTGCTTTTGTTCGACATCTAGCAGTGAAAGGATTACTAGATACGTGGTCTTGGGTCGAGGATTTAAAACCATATAAGAGGATCATGCCAGTTTGATGTGGCCAAGATGCTTAATAGGGGACAGTTTCTGTCGCTTGGTATAGTCACACTGGAGGCGTATAGACCCTTACAGATCTCTTGTAAATAATGCACACGTTCTGGCCCCTTTCACTGCCGAGGCAATTGTTTGTGAGTGTTTGATGAGCAAGATATATGACCAACGCTGGATGCCACCCAAATAAGTCTAACACGCAAGTTGTAGGTACAGCCAGACTTATCGATCGAGACTGATGGGCCTGGGTTTACTTTACTAAGCTTCATATGGCAAATCCTACTCATTATGCTAGCAGTACAACGTGTATTTCGAAATAATGTACTAGCTTATGACGATAAACTCTAGCACTATAGTGTGGATTTAGGGCTTTGACTGATAGACTTTAAACCCAATGGTTACCTTAGCAGTTTATTGTCATGAAGGATGGTGATACCTATACCGTAGGGATAGATTGAAGAGAGAGAAGTTTGTATAGGTTCTCAGAAGGACAAAAAGTTGGTCATCACAGGGCTCATGTCAATATGCAGACAATTAAATATTATACTCAATTGGTAGTGTACATGATAGGTGCTTATGGTACATAGTTTAGCCGAGATCGTACTATGCTACACACTTATGTGGCAGCCTTGAGAGCTGGAAGAAGCATCATGGAGACACGGAAGCCTGTTTAAAAGACATTGACATAGTCAGTAGTGTTCATCAGCACTTGGGATATTGGATGGGCTATGCTGAATTTATTTATGAAATACTTATGCCATCTGCTAGCCCAAAGAACCTTGTAGCAAGCACACAACACCAAATATGCTTATAGATCATGACCGACGCGGATATTTGGCCACGCCTACCCCCGACGCTCTTTCAAAAAGGTGGAATGCTGGCTGTCGGTCTTAGCTTTGAAGAGGCACGGAAATTCTATGATTTTCCTGAGTCCCTGCTTCTGGAGGTTGAAAGTGGTCTTATGGTCTCACTTCAACTAGAAAGCCACCTACGAAGCTTGTTGTTCCACATCACGCCAAAGACAACCCTACTGCACGTTCTGAATATAGCCACCCGGATGCAATCACTATACTAACCTGCCTGAGTTGGTACTATGGGGTTCTAAGCAATGAGGGCCTTTTTAAAACTTTCAGTCACCTTCTTAGCGCCAACCAGGCTAATATGAAATATCAGCTGTGAGTAAAGGATGCTAACCAATTGCCAAAGAAATTTCAGCAGCTGGTAAGTATTAACTTGCAAGATCGTCGTCTATGCATCGAGAAGATTTTTCCTTCGTTTCGATTTGCAAATAGTGTCGTGGATTGCCATCTCTCCCACATTGTATTTCCCAAGGAAATGAGGGGGTTTACATACAAGTTGTCCGCATCAGACTGGGATATTGACGAGGTCAAATGCCATCCCTTGACCGGGTTCAGTGGGAACATTATAGGGGAGCTGTTACGTTAGGGGCAAATCTGACAAAGGACAGATTAGTTCAAGGTGAGACCTGTACAGTGCATTGATTAATTTGATCGCTAATGCTTCTCTAGCTTGTATGAGGATGCGAAGGCTGGGCCAAGGTCAATCGGTTGTATTCTGTGTGCCAGACGAAATCTTCCGACGTGTGTCTCCGAAAACGGAAGCATAGAGGTATCCGATGTTGTTTGTTGAGTGATTTCCGAAACCTGGCAGGACATGAAAGGAATATCCCTCTATGGGCCACACAAGGCCTACGGCTTCTGCACCATGAATGGCTGTGGAACGAGATGCGCACGCAGGGGAATGTTATCTTATCTTCTACACGCACGGAAGTTCTTTGAAGATGAAGCCCTATCCTTGGAAAAAAGGTATAGGCCTCGTGTGACGCAAAACGGCCTGGCAGATCTCGTACACGATGACAAAAGCTAGGCTGCATCTTTGATCGCGACCCATGTCGGGAATTCGGAAGCGTGTCCAGATGAAGAGCAAGAACGGGAGGTTGACGTAGATGTAGAAAGGGAACAACAGGTTCAGCGCCCCCTAAATATTAAGCCGAAGAAGCACATAATTCATAGAGATATGAAGAAATACATATCCAACGGAGTAATTGCTGCAGGCTCTATAGCCTTTCTGCCGGCCGTCCAACCTCTTGATAGGACGAGCGCTGCCCGGCATCTTAGGGTTCTACAATTCCCGGGAAAGTTGCTTGTAACACGAGATTTTGCGCAAACTGTCGTGCCTATAGATATCTTGTCCCTTTCGGCCGATGTCTTTCAAAGGCCGGTGCAATGGGTCCTGACAACTCGCCATCGGAGTAACTCTACCGATCAGAAATCGACTGCCCGCCAAATGGTCATCATCAGCCCGTACGAAGCGCAGGAATTGTATAACTCTATCAAGAAATCTACGCATGTGATATTGCACCTCTATGCGCCCCGGTCCAATGTAGGGATCAAACCCTTGGGCAAGTTAGACCTCTACAATGTCTCGGGTGAGCTAAGGAGAGCAGAACAAGACTAAGTTCTTTCGAACTGAAGTGGGTTCATTGTGGCCTAGTATATCAAGACTTGGGTTTTCACAGATTAAGTCTCTGTGATGCTATCGTAGAGCGCAGTGCTAGGGAGTCTGGAGTTTCAACTTTGCGGTGTTACAGTATGGATATTTGGGTGAGTGTCTTAGCGTTCTGGCAATGTGGAATGAGTTTGTATCTCTTCTCTTTAAGTTAGTGGGTCCATGTTACTATTTGGAATGCTTAGAACTGGCCTCGTTAAAGCCGATCCCTCGCAATATCAGGCTATAGACCTGAATTATTTCATGAATCACTGGCTCGAAATTGAGTGTCACTAACTATGAGAAGCCCTTGCTGTAATTACTCAGCAGTGGATTGATCGTACAGCCTCAATGTATTGCTATCTTGTATTAGGCTTGGACTAACTGTATGAAGTATCATACCTTTCAAAAAGCGAAAACTGATCGACACCAAAAAGCCAATACATTTTAGTTTGTGAGGCTGTAGTAACAATTGCTATTGGATGTTTGGATCAAAGATAAAATTAAATCAATCACGGAAAGTGGGGATCACGGGAAGATCACAAGAGGTTTGTCGATTTATCACATTTTATGCTGTTTTGCTGTCTGCAAATAGCTCCATTGATATAGCGCCTCTCGCGGTCATCATGACTCCCTTCAATATAGGGAACCGCCCGATTGTATTTGGGCTTGAGGTAAGGGAGAATCAAAGAACGAAAGGAAAGAGTGGACAAGAGTGAATTGACGTCACGACAAGATGACAATTCATGAACTTCGGAGCTGAGACATCCAAACCTAGAGATCGCTTTTGTAATGTAGAGCGGCGATCTTTCAGCTCTCCTGTCCTTCCCGGAGACCCACGGGCCACAGGCTCGACATATATTACTATCTATCCTGTTGTTCGTCCTGAGCCTTATTTGAATCGATCCTGTTTCTTCGCGATATCTTCCTTGGCGGTTATTCGTGCGCTGTGTTGGCACAAATCCGGCGATGGCCGTCAATGAAGAAACCCCCTTGCTGCGTGCCAGCCGCCAGGACAAGCAGAAAACCAAGGCCGATGGCGAACGCGACAAACTCGCAGTCTACGGTTCATTTCTCGGTGAACAATATATGCAACCTTTCCAGATGCAACCATCGTACTGATTTTACTACTTAGGCGTTTTCCTCGCAGCTGCAGACGAATCCATCGTTCTTTCCACATGGAGTGTGATCGCCTCGGAGTTTCACCGTCTATCGCAGGGATCATGGCTCTTGGCCGCGTATAACTTTGGGTGGTGCGTGTCATTGCCGGTGGTTAGTCCAAGTAGTTGCTCTAACGAGGGTGCGAGACTGACATTTCCGCGGCCTAGTATGGTACGCTATGCGACATATATGGGCGAAAGAATGTCCTTGTCAGTGCGTATGCGCTTTTTGCGGCGGGATGTCTGGCTTGGTAGGTCAATCCCACCGTACGGGATTGTCTATACGAATAGCTTCTAACGACCGATTTCTGATGTAGCGGGGCTAGCACGTCCATGGTTCAGCTGGTGTTAGCCCGGGTGCTCACCGGGGCAAGTGCAGGAGGGATGGTTTCGCTGGTGTCGGTCGTTCTTACTGGTAAGTATCTATACCACCTTCTCTTGCCACACTGACCTTTTTATTCCCATAGATATGGTTCCCGCCGACGAGGTAGCCTTGCTCCGAAGCTACGCCAACGTGGTTAATGTTGTAGGTCGCAGTATAGGTGCTCCGCTGGGAGGCTATATTATTGGTGCTGTGGGATGGAGATGGTCTTTTATTGGCCAATTGCCCGTGGCAGCTATTTGTCTACTAATTGGGCTATATGGGCTTCCGTCGTCCTTAAACTCAACGAAAACTCGGGATGCAGATGAAGGGACTTCTCGGCGTAGTATCATGGGACTTGACTTTGCGGGTCTTGTCAGCTTCTCTGTCACCATCCTTCTTCTACTCTTATTAATGCAGGAGTTGAGCGCCCCATCAGATCGCTTCCAAATTCCACTTACGATACTCGCCCCAGCTGTTTGTGCTGGAGTGATATTGTTCATTGTGATAGAAGCATACTGGGCTCGAACCCCACTTATCCCGTTGCACCTCCTGAAGACCTCGCTCGGTGGGTTTTGCCTAAACCAGATACTGATGATGTCGAGCCGCTCGGGAGTAAGTTCCACTTCGCCTGAATGCATGATTTTATGTGATATCTGACTTTTATTGTAGCTTATGAGTAACTTGGCTCCATACCTGATTCGGGTCAAGGGTGCATCAAGCTCATTGGCTGCGTCAGCCTTCGTGTTGGCTGCAGTTGGGGTGTCAATTGGAGCATTGATCGCTGGAAAAGTTATCAAAAGGTAGTGACACTGCACCGTGGAACACTCGTCCATGAATAAGTGGAGTTTTCTGACCATTCGCAGATCGAAGCGATACCGAACCATGACTGTCATCGCCGTTTGTGGTGCTTTCATGACCTACTTGCTCATTTTTATTCGCTGGCGAAATGGCTGCTACCTTTGGGAATTAGTATATCTGTTGCCTAATGGTATGGCTATTGGTATTCTCTTCACCACACAGTTTATTGGTATGTCGCTGGGCGTGCCGAGCGAGAGCCTCACCACTTGCATCACTACATATTACCTTGCTCAGCAGTCCGGTAATATCATTGGGCCGGCAGCGAATGTGGCCGTTGTGCAACGCATTTTTATGGGGAGGTTGGAGAAGAATTTAAATCAGTGGGACGAGAAAAAGGTTTGTCGATATACGCATATCCGACTTGTATGAGTTTCATGCTAATCGTAGTCACCAGTTCATCGGTCAGATTCTCAACGATGACAGGTTCGCTCAGAACCTGTCCCCTGCGGTTCAGTATATTGTTCGGTGGAGCTATTTGAATGCATTCCAGTTGGTGCCTTGTGAGTACGATACCATTGATGAAAGCATACGAAGCTAATTTCTGCAGTGATTTCTGCCGCATGTGCATTATTTATGCTGCCTACTGTGCTATGGGTGAAAGAGGAGAGTTTACTGGATTAATCATGTATACTAGTTGGACTTCTATGTGTAGAATTTTTCAATATCGAATAAATGGATTGCTTGCAGTTTATCTATGGAGAAATGAATATAGGGCGGCAAGGTCTAGATTTGCCGGTACCTATGATGCACTATGATGAATAGGCACGAGAAGTGAATTTGATCCGACGCCATAGACGAATGGGAGATCGGATACACATTATCGTTGAGTCTATTTGGTTGTATCAAGGATAATTTAACGGGGCTTTCTTTCTACTGGATTGCCCCCAGGTAGTGAGTATCCACCACCATGGTAAAGCTGCCACATCAGCTCAGTGAAGCATCAATTCCGGCATCAGTTCCACCACGCATAGTGCTGATGTAAATTGGAATAGAGCGTTTTCTGTGCCCGTGACACGTCCGATTTACTGATAACACAGTAGACAATCGGCTCATCAGCAGCTACAAACCGTCAGACCGACATAAACCAAAACTAACAGCACCCAGAAAAAAAAAAAAATAAAAAATAAAAACTGGAGATTTAAAAAGGAAAAAGGAAAGAAAAAAACATACCAAGGGAAATCATATGCACAGGAATGCAACAAGCACTCAAGATGGAAAAAGTCGAAGACAAAACCTCACTACAGTGAAGTTTCGAAGCGATTTTCACGGAGAGCATAACCATATCCCCAGCCAAGGCGGGACGGCTATACGGCTGCATCTCAGCCTGAGCGGCCTTCAGAGCGTCCTCACTAACTGCGTTCGAGTCAATTGCGATCGTCACGCAATTGTCGCTGGTCAGCAGAAGCTCGACAGGGATGTTCGAGTCATCGATGATTGAGAGAATGCGGGCGTAGAAGCCGTAGTGGGTCAAATTTCTGTTAGAGTTCACGCAGAGAAGGCTTATATTCTCTTTTGCGGAGACGGAGATCTGGCGGTCTTTGCATTTTGTTATGTCCTGGTATACGGAGTCAGGAGGGATGATTTTGGGCGTGTTGATTAGGAGGGGACTGGAAACCTTCGTTGGTCTTACCTCGGGCTTACCCGGCTGAATGAATTTTTCGGGACTGTGAAGAACATCCGTGTTTAACCTTGCTCCGAACTCCATGGTGGGGAACTTTTGGGGGGAGAGATTGCTGTGGTTTTTCGCTGAATCGCAGAAACATGAAGAGTGTGAGTGGGAATCACTTCAATTGGGAAAGCATCCAGTAAGAGTCTGGTTCACTGGGAGAATGAGGGAAGATTAAAGAGTGGACGTTTCGACGAGAGTTGTAGATCGTGACTCAGGGGTGGATCTAATCAAATCGTTTAAATCGTTTAAAAAGCGGGCCTCTGGGCTCCGGCTGCCGAAAAATGCCGCAGAACAGACCGAATGTCTGGCAGTGGCTTTAATCGCGATGTTTTCTTGAATGACATGCAGCTTGATGCAAATTTGCCTGCTTTTTAAATTGGCGCCGACAGTGAAAAGGACAGCTGTTGCTGTAATTAACCAGATGAATGCACGACAGACTCCATAGTGGTCCGAGGGGGCTCGTGATGAGGAATATATATCTGTCTCTGCACACTGCCAAGAGTTATTCAAAGTTGCTACTCGTTCAGTCTGGTTATTACAAGAGTGTTAAACAATCCTTAATAGTCTTGAAAAATCTCGAATACTGGTTGACAACTGCTGTTAACTAGTCACAACTTTTAATAACCAAACTTTCAACTTCCCGTTCCTTAAATTCTGCCAACCCACTAGCTTTCACAGTTACCTATTGGACGAATATGGTCGTCTGCAGGCAAGATTGCATGCCCCTTGCTTATTTGGGCAATAAATCCTACCTGCGGGCATTGCTTTTGAACCACTAGGTATGAAATGGCTGGGACTAGGGGCTGGCTCATGTAAAGATTCCTTACTGGCATACTTAACTCACCCAAATGATCTGTCTTATAGCATTATTATACTCCGTACATAGACGCTTATGATGTTCACTGTGATATACTGTCTATTATAGTATAAATTTGCTTCTGGGTCTGTGCGCATGGCAGCAAAAATCCTCGGGATCCACTATGGACGGCAATACTCTGGAATAACTCGGCAAATGTTATATTCTCAGTTATCACAGAATAGATGGAAAAACAAATGCTACCTAGTATATTCAAGGAACTATGAGGAATCAGCAAGTGGCAATTTTCAATACCAGTAGATCAGAGCCTTAATCCAGAAAGCATTAATGTGAGTGGTTGCCCTGAATGCCCAGCATCTAATGCAGGAGCACAGCCTCAGGCCCCGTATAAGACAACTGGGCCCGCACACCAAAGACGCTTAATGTTTACGGACCCATTCCTCACCCACAACCATGGTTTCTCTGAGAGGTCTCCTGAAAATTTCCCAGCGCCATCCCCGACCCACTGCGTCGGCATTGAGAGCGTCCACTGTAGCCCCCGCATCAGGCTCCCCGTTCATTAACAATTCGCAGGGGGCTTCGGCTGCTGTGGCGGATTTATCCGATGCTCTTGGCACTGTTTTTGATCAGATTGATCTGGATGGTAAGACATTCTTTAATCAGAACAAAACAGTTCCTTATTGAAAATAGGCGATTTGAATGGCCAGATTAATGGGCTGTTGGATCGACTCGATCAAGAGGCATCCAAGTATAGTAACTCCCAGCTGAAAGATGAGCACTATCCTGACTGGGATTGGTATGAAAAATATACTTAATTGGCCATGAGTGTCCTATATTAATACGCACTTCCCAGCTCTCCGGAAAAAGCTGAATTGATCTCCATTGCGTGGCGCTGTGCCCGGGAGGTGTATGAAACATCCTCGGGTCTACCTATTGGCCCTGTTCGTAATGGGGAGTGGAAACTCGAACCAGGCGATTGTGTTGTTCCATCAACTGATGGGACAATCAAAGCTGTCTCTTTCAGTCGTGTGTCATCAGTTGAGAAGGCGACTGATCACAAGGATCTCCCTGTGCTAGTAGTTGCTATTCGAGGGAGTGCTAGTGCAGTCGACCACATGGTAAATGCTAACTATGAGCCGCGGAATGCAGATGACTTCATTGTGAGTCTTGCTCAGTAGAATATACATGTCTCAAGCCGCTATTCCGCTAACGAACAAATGGCACAGGACATATCTCGGCTTGCGCCGGAGAACAGCACCAATCTTCAGGCGCATTCTGGGTTCCTGAATAGCGCAAAGGCTCTGGACAAAACCGTGTCACAGGGGATAAAGAACTATATCCGTCAAAATGCAAGCGAATACAGTCACGTCTTATTCACCGGCCACTCAGCAGGTGGTGCTGTTGCCTCACTTTTGTTCCTTCGGCATATAGCACAAGAAAGCGTTTGTAAGAGACCCAGTTATCTATATCAGCTTCAAAATCAATATTCTGACTTGAAGAATTAGACCCAGAGGTCCGATTCTCGTGTATAACATTTGGGGCACCTCCAGTGGTGACAGTTCCTCTTTTGGAAAGTCCAGTACCTGGAGTTTCCAGCGGAGTGTGTCTAAACATTATTAACGAATTTGACCCTGTTACTCGGGCAGACGGGGCATACAAGCGTTGCTTGGTAGATTTGATCCACTCGATGTACAACCGGCAGCCGTCACAGCCTAGATCTGAGCCGTCGAGTACCACAGTTGATTCGCTGTCTACCGAGGATAGCGAATGTTTTTCGAAAGGAAAAGACTGGCCTGTTATGCCTTCATTTTACTTCCATATTGGCCCTCGCATTGTCCTTCTTTTACGAGTTAAGACCGGTATTAAGGAGACTTGTCTTCGGTTACGCGCTATTGAAGTACCCCGGGCTGACTTCGACCGATTGTTATTTTGTCGGGTTGCAGTGCATCGACGGGTATGCTATGGGGAGAGGGTGGAATTGATTACCAAGGGAGAGCTTAATGAGAGATGTAGTTGGGATGATACCATATTTAAATAGTCTGGCCAGGTTGTATAAGAAATATTTAGCTAACTGTACTACCACCACCAATAGCATGATGGCTCCAATAATCAACGTACTGGCAGGGCCACTCCCTTCCGTCTCGCAATTTCAACGGCCCTGTAATAACGCAAATCATTTTCCACTTCCTTCACGATGCTATCAGCATCGCAATCAATATCATCTAGAATATCCATGTCATCATTTGCCGCAAAAGCTTCCATCGCAGATGTAACAGCCTCACAATCCCAACAAAGGCAGACGTTATATTGCTGACCGAAAGCCACCTGAAACAGATCATGCGTCCTATTAAACCTAATGTCCAAAAACGACTTCCCCAACTTGTCATCATGACTGATCATCCTTCCAGCGCGTGCATTCAAACTCGTCCGGTACTGCTCCGGATCGGATAGATGAGTATGCCAAACCAGATCAACGTCCAGCGTCGGCACCAGAGTCGTTGTTGGGTAATCACGAAACAACTGCAGGAATTTATCGTAGCGGTCAATGGCGCGACGAAGTGTCCCTTCAACTGCCGGGCTGCGGATCCAGAGATGGGCGTGCATCTTTTCTACAAACTTGAACTGTCGCTCGACATTGTTCTTCAAGGGGTTGTTCCTGAGAGCCTCGGCTTTCGTGGCTTGAACCATCTCAACGAAAGCATAGTTAGCCGGAGTATCTACATATTTCAATAGTGAAAATGGGCTAGTCTTTGAGCTAGACCCGTACTGCGAGAGGACGTGTTTAGCATGGCTTTTGCCTTTACCGATTTCAACGAGCGTCTCGAAGAGGTCGGGTACAAAATCCGCCTGTTTTTCTAGCCAGTCCTTCTGGGCCTTGGGGAGACGGTATGACCAGTCACGCTGGTTTATTGCCTCGTGCTAGTTGACTTGAGTTAGGAAGTATTCTCCATGTTGGACTGCGGTTCGAGTTGAAAAACGTACGATTTGTTGCCATGGGAGGGGAGCTTTGCGAACCCGTTCCAATTTATGTTTGACACAGTAGAAATCGAAGTCAACGGGGTTCAGCAAAAAGGCATGCCACACCATAAGTACATCTGTGTAGTATCTTAGTATCGTTTCTCTGGCAAATTCACAAACATACAGTAGACAAAGGTAGACTTACCGACAGGTGGCAATGGACCCAGTCCTGATGGCTCGTTGACATTCTGTGAATCAGCACTGGAACAGGACATCTTATTAACCACCCGAATCCATCTGGTGAATCGGCATACTGCGAGCTCTAGGAAATAGGGCCATTTATTTTCTCTTCTTATTGAAAACGTGTCGTCCCCAACCGTGGCTGTATAAGACTCATATTTGCGTTTCTTTGAGGAATACCGCTTGCGGTAGACCGTTCTTTTATTCGGTTTGATGCCAAAAGTCTTATCCAGATCAGTGGATTGCAGGACTTTGTCTCTCAGAGCATGAAATACTTCCAACAGCTCGAGGTGGACGGCACATTCCCTGATGGTGGGGAGATCGTGTTGATTCGTGCTGGTTAAGAATGACGAAGGTTGGAACAGTTGTGGATCCGGTATTATTGGCTCTTCTGACTTGTCTAGAGCTTTTTGATATCCATAGATGGTATATGTTAATTTGGCATTGTTGATTTCCGCGCCGCTTGCGCGATGAAGAGACGCGAGGTTCAAGGAGACGTGGAGAGCCATGTTTAGTGCTGATAAAGGATGGTTTGCTTGTAAATTAAGGAGACGATAGTGTATATAAGATAAGAGATATGCGCAGTAAACTCTAGATGGATCATCTTCTCCATGAATACCGCCAAGCTGTCTCAGCCTCAGTGCGTAAGGCGTTGCTTCGCCGCAAACCCCCCGAATACGAGGCGAGTTCGGAGATCCGGGCAAACGGCAAGGCTGCACGACACCCTCGCGTGATTTATGAACAGTGGCTCCTTGGCAATTTGCATAGCAACACCTAGCTCCAATCTAGGTTTATTAAAACACCAGTACATCACTCAGAATTTCAAGATTACTATTACATCATGAGATATCAAAATGAGTTCAAGTCATGTACGCCGACAGCTGGATAAATCTAATACGGCCAGAATATTAGTTTGTTACGTTTTCGCCGTATTTCTCCCTATATTTGCATGTGGCATCGTTCAATCGAAAACACCGTCTCAGCCAGAAGTCAATTATTTGCTACATAGAATCGATCATGGCCTCTCCCTTCTTCATGGTCTCAAACTGGTCATGGCCGTAGTATGTACCATGGTTTGATGAAATTCGCAGAGAAATTAGCGCTAACGGTATCCCCATTGTACCAGAACTGGGTTTTGGTATTCCTGGCGTTCAGTGTGTTCTTCTTTCTTGGGGCAAGAGAATGGTATTTTGCACTCTTAGGGACACTGAATCTGGCCCTGACCACTGTTATTGTGGCCGGGATAGCGATGCAATCAAAAGTCCTCCCGCATACCTTTGCTGGTTGCAATAGCTTAGCAGCAAGCTGGCGTGAGGCCTTGCCAATGGACATGAGGGACTCCCCTACAGCCAGCGAAGCCTCGCTGCATTCTGCTTGCAAGAGGATGGTTGAGCATTGGGCCTTCGCAGTTGCCATAGTGTAAGACTGATGTGTATCCCTCAAATTTATCGGCAGCAGCTAACTCAACGCAGGGTCCTTTACTTTCCCTATTCTTTACTTATGATATTCCACGGTGTTCGAGGAATCATGCATCCTCGTCCGCCTCAGAATTCGCGCTCCATGAATACTAAATCTCTCAGAATTCAAGCGGCCATTTATTTCGCTTTCAGGTACACAGCAAAGCTCTTTCAGCGGGTTAAGCCTCGGAGTGGAAAACAACCAACACAGGTAGTGACGCGAGAGGCCAACGGGATTAACCGACGCTCGAATATATTTACCAGGCTCCGTCGTGGCGAGAAATCTACTGCCTTATCTCTACGTGTCCTGCCTTCTAACGTACTTCTCAAGATTGCTTCATATACTCATTACGTGGATATAGTCAACCTACACACTGCCTATGGCAGTCTTTTCCTCGCCTATATTGGGGATAATGAAGAAGAGTCTAAGCTTGAGGAGCTTCGAATGTATAGCTGCGCATCAGAGCAGGCAAAACAAGAGTGCAGACTTTGCAGAGCACAAATATGCGAGGTACAGTTGTTTCCTGCAACTGAGCACATGCAATGGGTTACTAACGAAGATAATAGTCATGCTGGATATCCGTTCCCGTCCCGCAAACAATAATACGTACGCATTTGGAATCATGCAAGCCAAGTTGCTCTCGTTGCTTCTATAAAAACTACAGTCTGAATGTGTCTGACTGGTGCAATATGGACGCTATCGCAAACAAGCGATCTCAGCCTCAGCATGGTCAATATAATCAGCATAAGAACGTCTGCCGAGGTTGTGCGGCGATGACCGACTCGGAAAGGCTCCGGATGGTGGAACTACAGGATAAGGCGGAGATGCACAGGTTCTCCAAGGAATCCTTGTTCTGTGCAGATTGCAAGGTCAAGTTGCCGCCATCGGGTCCACGTTGGTGGATTTGTCTTTGTGGAGAGGAGTGCCGTCATCATATTCATCCCCCGTGGGGCCTTGGGAGCAATAGTTAGGGCGCACATGGTTGTAATTGGATAAACATTGACTACTTCAAGATCGTCGGCGGAGTACAGATCTCTAATGGTAATGATTTGCATGTTTTACGATGAAAGGATAATGCACATTAGCACAACTGTAACAGTTATCATTTCCGAAGGGCAGCACGTGGCTCAAGCTCGGATGCCCCAGCCTCAGAGAATCCCGAGTCCGCGCCTTTTACAACCTCTGTAGGCAACAATGCAATAGCTAACATCAACCCAAGCCAATGACATATATGACTCACCTCGCAGCCTCACTTTCAGTTTGAACAATCCGGCACGCAAGGCAGAAAGCGTCGACCGATACAATGCAATGCAATGCAGGTACACCAGAACTACCGAGAAACCGTTTCCTTGGCGTAACCGCGCGCGGCTTCGCTAGTCGCCTGGCCGCAGCTCGTATTCTACGAAAAGTACTAACCGTAAATTGACCAAATTACGCGAAGGCAGAATGCTGATCTATTGGCGCTTTCCTGCATGGCTGTTCTACTGTTGAGCCTCACGGGGGTGAACTCGTGATACTACTATTCGACTGGCTGTCTGGGGAACGCCCACTGATCTAGATCGAAACAATCTATATATTTATTCAGAGCTGAATACCAAGTTGTTATCATTGAACCAAATACCGGAAGAATCACTATGGCTCGACTAAAGACTTTCAATAGTTTGCATAGGTCGTCACGGCCATCGTCACAGCCAAATATCACACAGGCACCGGATACACTATGGGAGCCGATTGGGCCAGGGAAAGCCCACCTCCTTCAAGAGCTCGAAGCGCTTTATTGGGCTGGAGTCGAAAGTGAACTGGAGAATATCATCCGCACACTGAAAGTTTGGCAGCAGCCAGAGTACGCGGATATCAATATCAGCGACGAAAATGATATTAACGTTCATGGCTTCGACACATTTCTTGACCAGGTTTGTCAAGAGGCGAGAGCGTTCGCTATTCGCTATGGTTAGTTCTTCCCACCAGATCCTTGGACAGGTATATGGTATATATGATATAGAAGGTGATTAATGCCATATAGGGGAGACAAAGCTAAAAGAGATGGCCAACCTCAAACAAGCACAGGCGATATTGTCGCGTAATCTTTCTTACCAGGAGGCACTGAAGAGAGTCATCCTCGATACACGTGCGGAATATTTCAGCAGAAAGATTAAAGAGGAAGTCCGTGAGCAACTTAACAGTGAGTTTCCGTCATTTTATGTCTGAATGGCTGCTGATATAGTATTACCTGTGAAGCCATCCCAAGACTGTCTGGTGTCGAGTTGCGAGCGTGGATGCTACTTCAAAATGCGGGTATATATAGGAATAAGATGCATTATTCATCATCAAGTGAACTAATTCATGCTAGGTTTCCTTGACATCGACAAGCTGATTGAGCACCGGCCGCCGCTGGATGAGTTAGATTTCTGGAAACGACCAGCAATTCCACAGCGTATGCTAATTTGTTGCTCTAATCATGTATAGCTGTTATATACTCACGAAGCCTAGTAAAACTGTCCAAGTTCGATAACCAATGGGTCCCTCAGTTTGCTCCAATGCAATGTGCCGAATGCAGGGCCATCATTCGTGGCAGCATGTTCACTAGACAAAAACAGTCCGAGGTGCCACAAGAAGCCTCTCACGCTATATGCGAAGACTGTTATCGATCTAAGTATTATGGGGATGAGTCAATATCCAAGAGATACAAGCATTGTGTACTATCTGATTCTATTCAATCTAGTACGAGCAGGAAGATGTGCCAATGCTCAGATGTACCTCACTATGATTCACAGGGGTGTCCACGTTGTCTGTTCCCACTGAATGAGGAAGATAAACACATTTCCTACAGATCGAGTCATCGTTGCACGATACTGAAACTCTCTGAGTTGGTTACATATGCAAAGTACCAGGGGCTTCTACGCACCGCAAAGGTGAAACGGAAGAGGGGAATGCGATTGTCTGATGCCCCGTGGATCTCGAGGATTGTTGACCGATCTCGGGGCAGGCAAAACACTCAAAATACAGGTGCACAGCGTGGTCAAGCTTACAATCAGTCGCCACAAACATATGGGGCAAAAAGGCAACCAGCCTTTCGTTCTGTGACGGAAAATACCCGCCAGGGAGATGATCGTGCTCCTGTGTCGAGTACCACGAGCGTAGCGACGGAGTCCAAGGCGGATGCAGATATCCCCCTTTTCTTTCGTCAGTTCACTGAGAAGTACCCTTTTGGAAACGTACATATGGCTTTGCGAGTAGGTCCGTTGGTTATCGAGAACGGTGTTTCTCAGTAAGTATATCTCACTGGAAAAAGCCTTCTTTTAGATGGAAAGACAAGATCTGATCAATTGCAATTAGCACAAAAGCAGGCGTTCTTATCACTCTGAGGGAATCGCCAGTATTTCACAAGCGTTTTGCACGGGGGACACATCAACGCAGCCTAGCAGTTGGGGGAGATTCGAAAAGACTTCTCTGGCAGCAACAACGACAGATAGGTCAACCAAAGAGATACAAAGCTTTAATGAAACAAATTGTCGGGGCTCCCTTTACAGGCGTTCTTTCCCAGAAACCGGAGAGCGAGCAAGAGAAAGAGATCATAGAGCTCCTTGTGGCAGCCAGCAAGCAGCCGTTTGATAATCCGGGCCTGCCTGTACTGGAACAGCAAAAGATTCTCAACGCCGCATTAAACTCTGTTCTGGAAAGGCTAAGGGATATGCTCAGCTCAAGAGTTAAGACATACCTCACCAGCATTGCCCAGCGTCTTCTTGACCCGGCAAACACACTCACATGGAGTGCGACAAGCAACAATTGCCAGAATTTCTGCAACTCTTTGATCGACACGGACCTCTTCGAGCCATTGGCCAATGGCCCACATATGCAATCCAGTGAGGTACCCTCTCCGCTTTATTTGATGAGCTTCGTCTGTCCGCCCGAGGGTTACCTGAACAACAAGATCATCAGTAAATTCGATGTCCCCATTGGATTAACCGAAGAATACCTTCTTCGGTTCCACTACGGCCGCCATGACGAGGCAGACTTGATTGACACCCTCCAAGAATACTGGTACGACTGGGGAGCTTTCGATTCTACATTATACAACTACCAGGACCTCTTTCCATGGGATTGCACCGAAGCATACAGGAGATATCCGACTAAATGCGGAGATTGTAACTTGTCCAAACATGTCTGGGCCTTTCCGTTCGATTCATGGTCTATTATCGGGCTGCACCTCTACCGCGATAAACACATGTATCAACCAAAACAGGATGCAGACTCCAAAACCACCAACCCCTGGTTACGGGACCGTCTTACCATCCTCACAGCATCATCTATCCTCGCCCGTGCAGCAACAGCAATGGCTAAATCACCCACGTTTTGCAAAGCGACAGCCTGGCTCCACTCTAAAGAAAAAGGACTTCGCCGCATCGACCCTTCCCTCGCTCGGGTCAAACTAGGCGGTATCCACCGCGCCCAACCATTCAGCCACTACTTCGAGGCCGGGACCTACAGTCACTACTTCTTAGCCGAATGGGCGCTGAAAAAGCGCAATTATAAGATAGCTGACTATGAGACTCTCCGAGATGGCCGTGCAAAACGACATGATATCCGTATAGGCGGGGGCAGATTCTCAGAGACCGGCAGGCAGCCTACAGATTTCAATCAATCATTCGATTGGTTCCGAGGACTCGACCATAGTGCTCCCGATTATGAATACTGTGGCAATCAGGGGCCGATAGAAACCGACGCCCAATTCGAGGCGCAGGCTAATGCTAGTATGGCTGCTGCCCTTATCGCTGATTCGCAGCTGGGCTCTATACATAATGCTGAGCATGCTGCGGCACAGGCGGCTGTTGCAGCTGTAAATTGCGGGTCAGGATGTGGGACTTCATCGGCGCCGTCGCATGTTTGTGGATCCTCTCCTTCTTCTGGAGGAGGTGGGGGAAGTAGTAGTTGTGGTGGTGGAAGTAGCAGTTGTGGTGGAGGTAGCAGCTGTGGAGGGGGTGGAGGAGGTGGCAGTTGTGATTGATATTCGTATTGGGAACGCTGTTCATATGAATTATGTACAAGCCTTCTGTAGAGAATCTGAGCTTTAGCCAAGTGATACCTAGTCTATGCGAGATGATACTTTCGATATCCAGATCATGGAGTTTCATTCCATGCAAACGATCATTTACAGAGATTGTTGAATGTGGCATCTAGCTCTTTACTAGTGTCATTCCATTCCTAGATACTAGTATCTAGCGATTAGTCACATCGAACCTCTAGCTTATTCAACGGTCTTATACTGAAGATGTTAAATAGCCAACAGAACTTGCAGAGCACAACTTCAAAGGTATAACATTACATTACGGAAGCCACCTGCAAGTCCTTCTGAGAAATGGCTGTCCTAGAACACTACAGACTCTCCTCTTACTACGCGACGGTAGTGGTCTCTAACAAGATACCCACTCCCAAACTGCCACTTATCCGAGCATCCGAGCTAAATAATTCCAGACCCAGAAACTTTCATCGTCGCCGCTAGAGAACCAGACCCCGCGCCATCCCAAGACACTTTGAATGGAGTGTTGCGTATGGATAATCTTCGACATTGCTAATTTCTCAGACTGCTTCTAGGTCACTCTATGTAGGTACTAATAATAGACAAATAAAGCTTGGGTAGTTCCCGGCGCTAACGTAAGTTGCTTACGCAGCTAATCCGTATATGGCTAGTTCCATATCATCATCTCTAGATCTAAAACGTAGAATAGATCCAAGTTTCGGGAATTTTATACGTACTACCATACTACTACCTGTGGCGCAGTGGTCATATTTGTCAGCCGTGAAAAATATTTTAAAAACACACCATAAGCATCTTGCAGAAATAGAGTCGTAATAATCATACAGCTGTCTTGTAATGGCACCAAGAACCGCTACGATCCCAGTGGCTCAAATGCCGCAACAAGCTGGCGTTCGGGGCCCCCAAGATGACTGGACAGGTATCATCGATCGAAAAGAACGAAGAAGGTTGCAGAACCGGATTAATCAACGGTCATATCGTAAGCCAACCCATTGATCACCACCTGTTACCTTAAGATTTCCCGAACAAATGAACGATGAATGTTGTTGCAATGACTTACGTAAATGGAGCCATAGGGCTACGGCAGATACGACGACACAAAGTTGACCAACCACCGGAGGAAAGCAGCGGCGCAATGATCACCTCCCGCCCGACTGAATACGGCAATGACCATAAAGGCTTGGGCGAATTTCAATGCAAACTGGGTCAACTGCGCATCTACTCACTGATGCGCGATTTCGAAATGTCAGCCTTGGAGAGCTATTCAAAGAACGCCCCAAACCAGGACCACCTTCTCAGTCTACCAAAGTTCAACATTCAGCGCGCGATCATTGATAACACTGTCGCTATGGGCATGACCATGGAGTGGATGAATGGCGATGACGCCGTATCCATCTTCAATATGCAGGGGCCGGGGATCTCCGAAGCCCTTATTCCAGCAAGTCTGCGGCCAACAATAGTCCAGCGGCGAATCCCCCATCATCCATGGCTGGATTTCTTCCCCTTCCCAAACTTAAGGGACAATCTCATCGCTGTGCAGGATGAAATTGACGATGAGGAGTTGTGTCATGATCTGATGGCGTTCTGGGATACGCGTAACACAGGCCCCATGTTGTTGGTCTGGGGCCAGTCCTGGATGCCGGGAAATTGGGAGATGACACCAGCGTTCGTGAAAAAGTGGGGGTTTCTGCTTGGTGGCTGCGAGGAGTTGTTGCAGAGTACAAATTCTTGGAGATTGAAGCGGGGAGAGCGGCCGTTGTCTCTGAGACCACTTCTTCAGACTAGACTAATTGAAGACTTATGATCTTACTGCCTTTGCAGTTATGGAGAAGAAAGCGGACATCCACTCCAAGATAAAAAGGGAGCCACTTATTCAGGCCTCAGGTGAGGTGGTGAAGCACAGGCACATCAACTACAAGCCTGGGATATTTACTCTGCAGACTGTTCGGATGGCAGTATAGAGTGTCATTTTTATACTGTAGACGAGGTATAATTTCCCCATAGTAATTTATTAAGCATGTTATCCACCCAGTCTATCTACTATATAGCTCTTTTCACTTACACGATTAGTACATACGACCACAGGGTGTGGAGAACAGGGCTTCCCGTCCGCTCAGCCGTACTTAAGCCAACTGTGTAAGCTCGGCCAAAGGACAGTGGCGCCCT